GTTTGTGTTCTCAGACCAGTAATATTTGGGGTCACAAGTTTTTGCCATGGATATTTTGTGGGTCAGAAGATAAAAAGTTTGGGAACCACTGCTCTATTTCACCTGTTTTTGTGTACTCACAGTTCTCTGCTCAGCTGGTTTCACCATAAAAAGGTTCAAACAATGATTCTTCAAAAGGCGACATTTTAAAGACTCGTTTTAACCAAAAGCACTTGGCATTTTTAACCTGAGGATCAGTTTTTAATCTTTCTGTCCTGGAAAGATTAGACAGAAATGTCTGAGCTGCTGCTGCTGCTACAAGTGATCTGTCTCCTTCTCTGCATTTCCAATTTGTGTCCTCTAGATTAATAAATTAAAACTAAACACCACTAAGGGACAACATTTCCCAACAAGTCTTTCAACCTGACCTGCACAGCGAAGGTCCCCAGAACGATGGTGCAGAAAATGGGGTTGGCGAAGATGCCGTCGAAGACGTTTCTCTCCCCGTGGATCTTGCGAGCGTTGATCTCGTTGAAAAGCTGCATGAGGACGAAGGTGTTGAAGATGATGGTGTAGTGCTCCGAGGGCGGGGAGTGGAGCGGAGCGTTGCGACCGCTGTCGATGTTAAACATGCGCTCGCCTGGAGGGTAAGAAGAAAAGCAGAGAAAGGAGACCTAATGAGACGGTTTCGCCTCCCGGAGGACAATTAGATATCTGAACACTTACTCATACATAGTCAAACAGATCTYTAGAGGGTTGTGTTCTTGCCCTCGTTCTTTATAATTTGCTCTCAGAAGCCTTCTTATAATCTTTTACGTTTACATTTCATAAGATGTGCCCAAATTGTGTCTCACTAATGTGCTTTTTTTTTTCCGTCTCGCACCACCTCCAAGAACGGGTTCTGTGCACAAGAAGTATTAACCCTCCGAGTATTGTGTGATTGTTCAGAACTTTGCGAGCATGTTTATATTGCTCTCATCCAGCTGCTGGCCGAGGCCRTCAGAAAATACAGCCGTCAAATAAATCCTATAAATATAGTCAAAGAACTCACAGACTGAGACWGCGTGGAGACACAGGCGGCTCTCTGTGGCTGTCTTTGTGATTGAGGGCGTCTGGTCAGTGTCGGGATAAGTTTTGTCGGAAACAGTGTTAGTCTCATCATGACAAATATAGAAAATAACACGGTTAACAACAGAAATACCAAATYCAGAGATGRAGAACRTAGAAATGACTCAGCCTGAAACTGAAAAAAGGGATGGAGGACAACAGAGCTACTTCATAGAAGGAGAAACTCAGCTTTAGCATTTTAGCTTTCACATTAGTGCTCGAGCTAATACATATATTAGCATTAGTGTCCAAGCTAATATTCGAAACTAATGCCATATTACTAATAAATATGTGGTATTAGTTCATACATAGCTAAAGCTATATTGCCTTATAAATATTAGCTTGGATGCTAACACAAAGGCTAACAAGCTAAACTKAGGTTCTTCTTCCATGAAGCAGCCTCCTTGTCCTCCATCCCTATTTTCAGTTTCAGGCTGAGTCATTTCTACATCCTCCTCTTTGTCAACGCWCTCCGGTTTCATTTAAAAGAGTTAATGTTGGATATTATCTAAAATTAACCTTCAAGCTAGTTAGAGCTCACTAACCCAGAATGCTTTGCGGCATAAATAACATCTAGCAGGGTAAGTAGTCAGTCAGAGTTCTCTTTAAAGACATAACTTAGATGTCATTCATGCGCTGTAGAAAGTTCTTGTTTCTTTATTGTTTTTTCCTGGCACATCTTCTTTTGTCCTCTTTTTTTCTAATTTTCTCACAAATGAAACAGATTTGGAAGAAAAGTATAAAAAATGAAGAGTGGCTATTTTCTTAATTTTTTCCCATGTAGATTTCCAGCAAATACTCAACGTGACGAAACACTWAATTCAGTTTACGTGACTTTACCATTTTTTGAATGTGAGCTGCTTGTATGAAACAGGCCCTCCGTTCGTACCTCAGGAGGGTTGTGTAGCAGGAAGCCTGTAGTTGTTTGTGTGTGCGTTCCCAAACGAGTGTGGCCAGGCCAATTACCATCAGCAGACATCCGGTGAGTCAGACCGCTGCTGGCTGGCTGCATGTTTCTGTGTCTCCACTGAGACAGAATTATTTTCTGTTGCTATTATTCAGTTTCACAAACATTGTCCTGGCCTTGTCATTTTCAGGACCAACTTTTGAGACAAAATTGTGCAACCTCTGTCCCGTTCASTCAGGACAGCCTTCAGCAGACAGGTTGAAGCTTCAGATTTAGTTTTACTTAGTGATGGGAGAATCAATGCAACAAGAGAAATTATATTTCTCTGCTAAAATGCTCCTCAATAGTTCAAGCTAAAAGAAAGAGAACACAACCTAAAAGCTAAAAATAGCAAAAATTCTAGATAAAATAAACATAAAAGATAACTATGTAGCAAAATATTAGCTGAGAACAAAAAGTATCTAATGGTTAAGTAGAGGCTTAAATAATGAAAGGCTTTCCAAAAGAAGCAAAAGGTTAGCTATAGACTAAAAGTAGCAAAAAAATTGTTATATGCCAAAGTAAAAAAAGGCAAGCTAAAAGAAGTTAAAGGTCTGTTGTAGACTAAAGTCTAAATCATGGCGGCGGTGGCGGCAGATATATATAGCTGTGCAGTATCGCTGCAGGAAAATACATCCCATTTGACTTTACAGGCATCTGCAGGTC